TGTATTCATCGGTCTCTGTAGTGATTACTTGTTCCATTTTTCCCCATCTTGTCTCGGACAGTGAAGTAGACTCTTTGATTGTCTACCTTTTCTTTGGATAACTAGTCCTTTTTTTCTTTCAGTCGAATTGCCATCCTACTTAGGTTGCCAACACTATAACGTGATTTAACTCACAGTTTGCAGAATATGATACATGATCGGTGTGATAATGAAATTTCTCCAGCTGCGCTTATTACTAGTACTCTCGAATTACCACTGGTTTCTATAAGCTGTTCAAAGCACACAATCTTGGAAGCAGCTAAGAGCAACAGAAGGAAAACTAATTCGCAAAGATTGGTAATCAAATATAGACATTGCAGATCAGAGTGTCAGGTGCCCATATTTTTCAATTATCCAAAATAAAATTTTAATAATAACAAAGATTACTTTCATTTTTTGCTTATGTGCTTTGTCTATTGTGTCTATATGCCATTTTGTTTTTCCTTGTTGACATAGTTGTTTTTATAGCGATTAAGATTATTACACAATGTTGACTGCTGTACCCCAATTTTTGACATTTTTAACCTATTATGTCTGTTTGTTTTGCTCACACATTGTTGTCAATGTAATAGAATTATATGCGACTGTCATACAAGTGAGAGGTTTGGCTAGCTTTAAACCAGAATAAGTTCACCATTTTTCTACATAAAGAAATGCCTGTACCAAGTCAGGAATATGACAGTTGTTTTCCATTCGTTTGATGTGTTTGAGCTTTTGATTTTGCCATTTGATAAGGGACTTTCCGTTTTGAATTTTCCTTGGAGTTCGGTATTTTTGTTATTTTACTTTTCATAATAAATTGAACTAATAGGAATACTAAAACCAATGGCAGTTAATATTCAAATTATGTCAAATCAACACTATAGCAAAAGGAATCCATAAGAAAGATATGGATTTTCTAAGCCCTCTCTTCGTTGCAGTACTCGTAAATATTTAAGTGAATGTGATTTAACAGAATGCATAGTGACTGTAAAAATATACAGTAATTGTCAGTTTGTTTTCGACTTATGAGTTTGAATATCCCTTTGGTATCCTCTCTTTTATGGACTTCAAAGTTAAGGAAAGCAATATCAAGGAAAGGTAAAACGTGGTATAATTGGTTACTCTTTTTGCGGTTAAAGAAAAGAAAGGTAACGGTTTGTTTACTTCAGAAATCATACTGATACTGATACAAGTGTGTCATTTGACATTTACATCAGATAAATATTGTCTTACTTTCATTATGATACAGTGTTGACCTGACTTAAATGATACATTTTGTCTGTAATTTCCGATCATAAAATTATGTAAATGTACTAAAGCTAAGGTTACAACTACCTTTGGCAAATAGTACCATGGTCCTTTCGTTATGTTTTTTTTTTTCTGTTTTAAGTCCTTTTGTTTTGTATTGTTTATGATTACTTTTTGTTCTGTTTAATAGACATTTTTTTGTTTCTGTGCCCTCCAACGTTTTTGATTTTGGCTTTTCAAAGTTATTCAAGTCACACGTGTCGTGAACAAAGAAATCATGCCATACGATTTTTAATACAACTGGATCAGTACCGTTGCTGGTTGACTATTAGACCACAGGGGTACCATCCACTCTGTATTCAGTGCTAATGTATTGACATGATTTAAAAGAAACATTTTCTCGTAAAAAGTTGGGGTTTTTCATATTTAGAGAAGAATGATAACATCATTTGATAACTTTATTCTAATTTTGATAACTATATTCTTATTTTAATATCTGTTCATCGGAACATTTTTTTTTGTAAACTTGTAATCATAAGCTTCATTAAGGAGAAATATTCAAACATAAAGGAGTTCTATTTTGAACGGAACTGACTTGGACATGAAACAAAAAATCAGTAGTTTTCATGTGTTATTTATTTGAGGAGTGTTACTTACTTACGTTCATAGTGTTTTAACACAATCAGAAAATATGAATACTAGAACTTAACAACAATATTTATCATGAAAACGTTGGTTAGCCGTGTTTTTGACAATCATTCCATTGTTTCGTTTTCTTTTTTTTTAGGTGACAAAGACATCGAAATATATTGAATGCTGGGCTTGTTTTACTCTCTTAGACAATAAATGATTCGACCTACAGTACAAAAATTCGTGCACGAAATACGTAAGCTCCTTTAACGCTTGTTTACCAGATTTTAAAATAAGGTCAAACCTGGTAAGCAATCTCCGCATTGGTAGATCCAGAGATATAATCGTCAGTGACAGTTCATGCATTGAATCTTTAGTATAAACTATGAAATTATTGAAAGTTGTAAATTTGTCAGGTTATATCTGTTATACTGTGCTGCATTCTGTTTCTTTCTATGTATATCAACATATAATTTTGTCAAGGGATATTTTGCATGTTTTTGGCCATGGCGTTGTCAGTTTGTTTTCGATCTATGAGTTTGAATGTCCCTCTGGTATCTTTCGTCCCTCTTTTAAATAAATCATCTCGTTCATTATATGACATATTGTTTTCTTGATTCTTTAATAACTTAACAATTGACACGTATTAAGTTGTAATCAACATAAAGTTTACATATTAATGTCAGTTTCTCGGATGCTATAAGAAAAAGTAAAATTTTATCTGGTGTATACTTAATTATTGTAAGAGGTACCTGCCCGTCTTACAAATGTATATACCACAATCAGTACCAAGCATTTTATTGGCCCAGTCGTTATCTGTTTCAGTTCTGACATAAATTACCAAATATTCGTAGATATTCACATTGTTTTGTGTGAAAATTTCTTAAAAAACAGCAAAGAGAGGCGAAAGATACCGAAGTGACATTCAAGCTCATTAGTCGAAAATAAACTGACAACGCCATGGCAAAAAAAAAAGAAAAAGATCAAAAGACAAACAACAGTATACTAAAAAACACAATATAGATAACTACATGTAACGACTGAGCAACACGAACCCCGCTCAAAACCAGGGGTGATCTCAGGTGCTCTGGAAGGGTTAGCAGATCCTGCTAAACAAGTGGCACCCGTCGTGTTGCTCATGTAAGTACAAACATGGTGATAAGTCTAATTTGGTAGGTCACATTCGAGGAAAAGAGGACGGGATTGTAGGTACGACAATTGGAACATATCCGTCGTCATCTGTGAAACAGATATTCCATAACGGTCAACCAACTCGTGATGGCGTCCATAAAATTAACGAAGCGACGATTTCAACTTCACCACTTGGAACACTTGGTTTAATAGCTTCTTTTTGAAAAGCAACAATCTATCAAGGGAATCATGATAGGAAATACAAGCCCTGGAATACCCTATCAACTGGGAGATATATATACTCCATATGCAGGCGCTGTTTGAATGTTGCTACATAGAAATGGAAAGTTCGCAATTGGGAAGCTGAAATCATCTCTTTTGTCGTAAAGATTTGTTTTCAACCGACCCTTATTGTCAATTTCTAGATGTTAAGTCAAGATATGGGGCAGACTTAACTGAATCTGTTGTATCCTTTATCTCAAGTTCGATGAAGAGGAGAAAATGTGTACGCATTTAAAAAAAAAAAATAACCCACTTTGATTGCACAAAGATTATTGCAATTAACAAGTTAAAAGGTGCAAAAAGTAAAATCACAAAAATACTGAACTCCGAGGAAAATTCAAAACGGAAAGTCCCTAATCAAATGGCAAAATCAAAAGCTCAAACACATCAAACGAATGGATAACAACTGTCATATTCCTGACTTGGTACAGGCATTTTCTTATGTAGAAAATGGTGGATTGAACCTAGTTTTATAGCTAGCTAAACCTCTCACTTGTATGACAGTCGCATCAAATTCCATTATATTGACAAAGATGCGTGAAGAAAACAAACAGACGCAATAGGTAAAAATGTTAAAAATAGGGGTACAGCAGTCAACATTGTGTTATCGTCTTAATCACTATAAAAACAAACAAATGTAACGAAGAAGCACAAAAAGGCATACATCAAATTTAACATCCTCATTTTGCTTTTTCATTATACGATTTTATTTATCTATGTAAAATCCACCCATAAAGGATGGAAGGTTTTAAGTACTGGCGTAAAATCGCTCGTTTGAAATTCGCACAGGTAGACAAAAAATAATTTTGTGGTTCAAAGTATGACGGGATACATATGTAAAGAGTCACGTAAAACGGATGTCACAAAAACAGACTTAACAGTAAAAGTAATATAAATAAATAAAATAATTTAGTGGTTCAAAGTATGACGGGATACATAAGTACAGAGTCACGTCAAATGTATATCACAAAAAACAGACTTAACAGTAAAAGTAATATTTATAAAGACAAATAAAAGAATACTATAACACGTTATTAAGATGATAAACAACGTCAGTACGCAGAATCTATACAAAGTCTTCAAGACCATCGTGTATTATTTGTGAAGTTGATACGGAGTATTTATCAACAAGGTCTTAATTGGTACCTTCCGATAAACTTTTTTAGAAAAAGGACGAGACGTTCTTTGACATACCCCTGGTTCATCAACTTTCTGCTCAGACACTGGTGACGTTTTACAAAGTCTGAATAGGAGCTTCCAGAACTGCACATTTATTGAAAGATTTTTTTTTATTTCAAAGGTTCAAAATCAGTGACCTAGACCTTTGACCTAAATACCCCAAAATTAATAGGTCTCTTCTCCTTCTATATGTTTCGTTTGTTTAGACACAAGGACGGACGGACTGATTGACAAATGTAGTCTTTTGTTTTCCTGGAAATGTTAAATTTGGCATCAGTGCAAAAGTAGATGAAGTCACTACACAAATACAAGCTGTTGAAGATATGGTATGATTACCAATGTGACAAGTTTCCATCATAGACAAATGATGTAGATGTTAGCAACAATAGGTCAGCGTACAGTCTTCAACAATGAGCAAGACTCATACTGCAGAGCAAGGTAGAAAAGGCCCGACATTTCAAAATGCAAAACAATTCAAACTTGAAAAACAAACGGCCTGATTTATGTACAAAACCACAAACAATAAAATGCTCCGCAGGGAGCAGCTTGATACGACCGCAGAGGTCGAACCCTGAACAGTTGGGGCAAGTATGGACACAACATTCAAGCTTGATACAGCTTTGCATTTGGATCGTGATTAAATATTTGACACAGCATAGGTTTCTGACACAGAATGAATGTGGTCTAAGAACTTAAAAATTTTAAATTGGACATTCACCTATTATGGTCCAATATCCAAAATCTAAATACATCGTTAGATTCAGCATATCAAAGAACCCCAAGAATTCAATTTTTGATGAAATCAAACAAAGTTTAATTTTAGACCCTTTTGACCTCAATGTGGACAAAGTTGATAACGGGGCCCAAAAATCAAAAATCTAAATACATGGTTAGATTCAGCATATCAAAGAACCCCATATATTCAATTTTTGTTGAAATCAAACAAAGTTTAATTTTGGACCCCGATTTGGACCAACTTGAAAACTGGGCCCATAATCAAAAATCTAAATATATGTTTAGATTCAGCATATCAAAGAACCCTAAGAATTCAATTTTTGTTAAAATCAAACTAAGTTTAATTTTGGACCCTTTGGACCTTAATGTAGACCAATTTGAAAACGGAACCAAAAATTAAGAATCTTAATACACGGTTAGATTCGGCATATCAAAGAACCCCAATAATTCAATTTTTGATGAAATCAAACAAAGTTTAATTTTGGACCCTTTGGACCTCAATGTGGACCAATTTAAAAACGGGGCCCAAAATCCAAAAACTAAATACACGGTTAGATTCAGCATATTAAAGAACCCCAAGAATTCAAGAATAAAACCCCATTGAAATTGGTCAAGAAATAAGCAATTTATACGAAGTATCTTCTTTTGCACAATACTGTGCAATTAAATATTTCTTGCTATTGCGCAATACTGTACAATTGACAATTTCTTGCTATTGCGCAATATTGTGCTATTGGATATTTCTTGCTATTGCGCAATACTGTGCAATTGAAGATTTCTTGCTATTGCGCAATACTGTGCAATTGAAGATTTCTTGCTATTGTGCAATACTGTGCAATTGAAAATTTCTTGCTATTGCACAATACTTATTATATAATAATTTACACATCCTGTTTGGTGTGTATCTCCTACCATATCATTATTATTTGATTTTAAATATAAATCAGAAATAACCAACTTAAAATGGAAAATTTTAAAAGAAAAAAAAAAGGAAAAAAAGAAAAAAAAGGAAAAAAAAAAAAATCCCTCCCATGATTTTTTGAACCCCCTTATGATTCATCACCCCCAAACTCAATCCCAGCCTTCCCTTTGTGGTATGGTACCTTGCAGTACAATTTCAGAGAGATCCATACACTTGAACACAAGTTATTGTCTGGAAACTAGAAAAATGTGTTTTTGGTCCCTTTTAGGCCCCCCAATTCCTAAACGTTTTGGCAATTACCCCCAAACTCAATTCCAGCTTTCCCTTTTGTGATATGGAACCTTGTAGTACAATTTCAGAAAGATCCATACACTTACACACAAGTAATTGTCCTGAAACTAGAAAAATGCTTGTTTTTTTGCCCCTTTTTGGCCCCTAATTCCTAAAATTTTGAGGCAATTACCCCCAAAATCAATCCCAGCATTCCTTTTGTGATATGGAACCTTGTGGTACAATGTCAGAGAGATCCATACACTAACACACAAGTTATGTCTGGAAGTTACAAAAATGCTTATTTTTGGCCCCTTTTTGGCCCCTAATTCCTTTACTGTTGGTACCATAACCCCCAAAATCAATCCCAACCTTCCTTTTGTGGTATTGAACCTTGTGGTAAAATTTCATAGAGATCCATTCACTTAAACTCAAGTTAGAGTGCGAAAACCAATGTGTCTTCGGACGACGCCGGACGACGCCGGACGACGACGACGACGACGACGACGCCAACGTCATACCAATATACGACCACAAAATTTTTTTTGCGGTCGTATAAAAATAAATGATATACAGCAACAAACGACAACCACTGAATTACAGGCTCCAGATTTGGGACAACCACATACAGAATGCAGCGGGCTTAAACATGTTTGTGGGTGCCAAACCCTCCACTTACCCGGGAAAGATTTTTAACAGCACAACTAAAAAACACACCTAAGAACAATTGATAAAGCCTTGACTAATCAGATCGAGACCCGACACGAAAAAACAGCTAACAAAAAAACGTAAGACACAAAGTACCGATCTGAAAGTACTCGAAGTTACTAAAAGCTAGTTCAAAGCAAAAAAAAAGATATAAAATCATGTTTATGAATTCTTAACTTAATTGAAGTACCGGAGTTTTGATGGTATAATACAAATGTTGACATTTAAAAGTATTTCTATCTTCACACTTTGCAAAAGGAAAAGATTGACATCCGTATACAGTACAATTAAGGAAACTTTGTAAAATGTATTTCCTGGGGGAAAAGGTTTTAGTAATTTGAGTACTTAGTGTGCTAGAAACAATATATAGGTAAGGTTTAAAGAAAACATAAATAAACTGTTATCACAGAGATATGTCTCGCCTTTTTGTAATTTTGCTAATGCAAACGTTGAAATTAAAATAGCAATACTTTAACATGGAAGTTATGCAAATATTCGAAGTCCATGAACCATGACTGAAGGTACATGGCTGAACAATCCCCATGAAAATGAGATGTGCCAATGCTAATACAACTGCATACCAAATACCATTGACTTATTATAAGTCATTCCCTTTAAACAAACCTAAACACAAACCTAAACTTGTAAACTATGTAAAAGTTTCAAAGTCAATAAACCATGATGGGGGGATGGGGCTTTATAATATGATACTTGCAAATGCCATAAATTTGCATACCAAATATCATTGACTTTACATAAGCAGCTCATCTTAAACTGATCTAATCACAAACAAATACATGTAAACTAAGCAAAAGTTTCAAAGTCATAGACCATGACTGAGGGGGCGAGGCTAAATATTCTCCATGGAAATGGGATGTGCTAATGCTTATACAACTGAATACCAATTATCATTGGCCTACCACTAATGGTTCCCCTTGAACTGACCTAATCACAAACCTTAACTTGTAAACTAAGCAAAATTTTCAAAGTCAATAGACCATGACTAAGGGGGTGGAGCCAAATAATCTCCATGGAAATGAGATATGCCAATGCTTATACAACTGCATACCAAATGTCATTGACCTACCACTAATGGTTCCCCATAAACTGACCTAATTACAAACTAACACATGTAAACTTAGCAAAAGTTTCAAAATCAATAGACCATGACTGAGGGGGCAGGGCCAAATAATCTCTATGGAAATGAGATGTGCTAGTGCTTATACAACTGCATACCAAATATCATTGACCTTCCACTTGTGGTTCACCATTAACTAGACCTAATCACAAACTAATACATTGTTGACGCCGCCGCCGCAAATAGCATACCTATGTCTTGCTTTTTGACTTCGGCTTGGCGAGACAAAAATGAATAAAGCTGAATCCCATAACAAACTTGAACATATTAATGCAAAAGTTTCAAAGCCAATGGACAATGGATGAGAGGATGGGACCAAATGTTCTTCATGGAAATGAGATGTTCCAATGTTAACACAAACGTATACTAAATATCATTGACCTACCACTAGTGGTTCCCCTTTACAGACAAAATCACAAACTTTAACAATTGTTGACTCAGCCAAGGCATAAGTTTGGCTTCCAAACTTGTCACAAGTGAGCAATTACTAATTCTCTGAAACAAACCTACAGTTTGTACACTTTAAATACTATAAATTCAGAAATTATTTCCTTTCAAAAATGTAACAGTATCATGTTCGAAATAATATAAAAAATTCGTAAGGGTTCCGCGGAACCCAGTGTATCGCCTACTTTTGCTGTTAATCACAGGCTCAACAAAAATGAGGAAAAAAATTAATAAAAATATTCCTCTCTATACTATGTTTTGATTGTAAGTAGCTTCTGTCCAAGTTTGGTAAAAAACGCCGACGACAGAATGTAGGATCACTATGTCTCGCTTTTTCGACAAAAGTCGAAGGCTCGACAACTAGCATTCATAATTTCAGTAGTGATTTTCCTTCACAAAAGTTTTGCAATAACATTAATTAGATCTCAAATTTTCACCAGTATTTAGTAAAACACCATCATAAATGCATGCATGAATTTCTAAATTCACAGTAATCTTTTGAACAGCTGCACTGAAATACCACATGTCCACTGTATTATAAAGGAAATCTAAAACTAGAATCAGTGATAAAAAGTAATAAATACCTTTAATTGTCAAAATGATGGTTTTATTAGCATAAATATCTCATCAAAACATTGATTCAAACCAAAACAGAAGCTGTCACATAAAATACTAAAAGAATGTAACATAAAACTAGAGGCTCTAAAGAGCCTGTGTCGCTCACCTTGGTCTATGTGCATATTAAACAAAGGACACAGATGGATTCATGACAAAATTGTGTTTTGGTGATGTGTTTGTAGATCTTACTTTACTGAACATTCTTGCTCCTTACTATTATCTCTATCTATAATGAACTTGGCCCGGTAGTTACAGTGGAAAATACTTTGTAAAAATTTACAAAAATTTACAAAATTTATGAAAATTGTAAAAAATTGACTATAAAGAGCAATAACTCCTTAAGGGGTCAATTGACAATTTTGGTCATGTTGCCTTATTTGTAGATCTAACTTTGCTGTACATTATTGCTGTTAACAGTTTATCTCTATCTATAACAATATTCAAGATAATAACCAAAAGCTGCAAAATTTTCTTAAAATTACCAATTCAGGGGCAGCAACCTAACAACGGGTTGCCTGATTGGTCTGAAAATTTCAGGGCAGATAGATCTTGACCTAATGAACAATTTTATCCTCATCAGATTTGCTCTAAATGCTTTGGTTTCAGAGATATGAGCCAAAAACTGCATTTTACCCTATGTACTATTTTTTAGCCATGTCGGCCATCTTGGTTCGCGGGCGGGGTCATCGGACACATTTTTTAAACTAGATACCCTAATGATGATTGCGGACAAGTTTGGTTAAATTTGTCTTAGTAGTTTCAGAGGAGAAGATTTTTGTAAAAAATTACAAAAAATTACGAAAAATGGTTAAAAATTTACTATAAAGGGCAATAACTCCTTAAGGGGTCAACTGACCATTTTGGTCAAGTTGACTTATTTGTAGATCTTATTTTGCTGAACATTATTGCTGTTTACAGTTTATCTCTATCTATAATAATGTTCAAGATAATAACCAATAAAATGCTTCGCTGGGCGCAGCTTGATACGACCGCAGAGGTCGAACCCTGAACAGTTGGGGCAAGTATGGACACAACATTCAAGCTGGATACAGCTCTGAATTTGGATTGTGATTAAATATTTGACACAGCATAGGTTTCTGACACAGAAAGAATGTGGTCTAAGAACTTCAATTTTTTTAATTTACCTATTATGGTCCAATGTCCAAAATCAAAATACATGGTTAGATTCAGCATATCAAAGAACCCCATATATTCAATTTTTGTTGAAATCAAACAAAGTTTAATTTTGGACCCCAACTTGGACAAACTTGAAAACTGGTCCCATAATCAAAAATCTAAACACATGTTTAGATTCAGCATATCAAAGTACCCTAAGAATTCAATTTTTGTTAAAATCAAACTAAGTTTAATTTTGGACCCTTTGGACCTTAATGTAGACCAATTTAAAAAACAGGACCCAAAATTAAAAATCTAAAAACACGGTTAGATTTGGCATATCAAAGAACCCCAATAATTCAATTTTTGATGAAATCAAACAAAGTTTAATTTTGGACCCTTTTGACCTCAATATGAACCAATTTGATAGTGGGCCCACAAATAAAAAATCTAAATACATGGTAAGATTCAGCATATCAAAGAACCCCATATATTCAATTTTTGTTGAAATCAAACAAAGTTTAATTTTGGACCCCAATTTGGACCAACTTGAAAACTGGGCCAAAAATCTAAAATCTAAATACATGTTTACATTCAGCATATCAAAGAACCCCATATATTCAATTTTTGTTGAAATCAAACAAAGTTTAATTTTGGACCCCAACTTGGACCAACTTGAAAACTGGTCCCATAATCAAAAATCTAAACACATGTTTAGATTCAGCATATCAAAGAACCCCAAAAATTCAATTTTTGTTAAAATCAAACTAAGTTTAATTTTGGACCCTTTGGACCTTAATGTAGACCAATTTAAAAAACAGGACCCAAAATTAAAAATCTAAATACACGGTTAGATTTGGCATATCAAAGAACCCCAATAATTCAATTTTTGATGAAATCAAACAAAGTTTAATTTTGGACCCTTTTGACCTCAATATGAACCAATTTGATAGTGGGCCCACAAATAAAAAATCTAAATACATGGTAAGATTCAGCATATCAAAGAACCCCATATATTCAATTTTTGTTGAAATCAAACAAAGTTTAATTTTGGACCCCAATTTGGACCAACTTGAAAACTGGGCCAAAAATCTAAAATCTAAATACATGTTTAGATTCAGCATATCAAAGAACCCCATATATTCAATTTTTGTTGAAATCAAACAAAGTTTAATTTTGGACCCCAACTTGGACCAACTTGAAAACTGGGCCCATAATCAAAAATCTAAACACATGTTTAGATTCAGCATATCAAAGAACCCTAAGAATTCAATTTTTGTTAAAATCAAACTAAGTTTAATTTTGGACCCTTTGGACCTTAATGTAGACCAATTTAAAAAACGGGACCCAAAATTAAAAATCTAAATACACGGTTAGAATCGGCATATCAAAGAACCCCAATAATTCAATTTTTGATGAAATCAAACAAAGTTAAATTTTGGACCCTTTGGACCTCAATGTGGAATAATTTAAAAACGGGGCCCAAAATCCAAAAACTTAATACACAGTTAGATTCAGCATATTAAAGAACCCCAAGAATTCAAGAATAAAACCCCATTGAAATTGATCAAGAAATAAGCAATTTATACGAAGTATCTTCTTTTGCACAATACTGTGCAATTGAATATTTCTTGCTATTGCGCAATACTGTACAATTGACAATTTCTTGCTATTGCGCAATATTGTGCTATTGGATATTTCTTGCTATTGCGCAATACTGTTAAATTGAAGATTTCTTGCTATTGCGCAATACTGTGCAATTGAAGATTTCTTGCTATTGTGCAATACTGTGCAATTGAAAATTTCTTGCTATTGCACAATACTTATTATATAATAATTTACACATCCTGTTTGGTGTGTATCTCCTACCATATCATTATTATTTGCTTTTAAATATAAATCAGAAATAACCAACTTAAAATGGAACATTTTAAAAGAAAAAAAAAAGGAATAAAAAGAAAAAAAAAAAAAAAAAAAATCCCCCCCCTCCCAATTTTTTGAACCCCCTTATGATTCATCACCCCCAAACTCAATCCCAGCCTTCCCTTTGTGGTATGGTACCTTGCAGTACAATTTCAGAGAGATCCATACACTTGAACACAAGTTATTGTCTGGAAACTAGAAAAATGCTTATTTTTGGCCCCTTTTTGGCCCCCAATTCCTAAACGTTTCGGGCAATTACCCCCAAACTCAATTCCAGCTATCCCTTTGTGATATGGAACCTTGTAGTACAATTTCAGAAATATCCAAACACTTACACACAAGTTATTGTCATGAAACTAGAAAAATGCTTGTTTTTTGCCCCTTTTTTGGCCCCTAATTCCTAAAATTTTGAGGCAATTACCCCCAAAATCAATTACAGCCTTCCCTTTGTGATATGGAACCTTGTGGTACAATGTCAGAGAGATCCATACACTTACACACAAGTTATTGTCTGAAAGTTACAAAAATGCTTATTTTTGGCCCCTTTTTGGCCCCTAATTCCTTAACTGTTGGTACCATAACCCCCAAAATCAATCCCAACCTTCCTTTCGTGGTATTGAACCTTATGGTGAAATTTCATGGAGATCCATTCACTTAAACTAAAGTTAGAGTGCGAAAACCAATGTGTCTTCGGACGACGCCGGACGACGCCGGACGACGACGACGACGACGACGCCAACATCATACCAATATACGACCAAAAAATTTTTAATTTTTGCGGTCGTATAAAAACGGCAAAATTTCCTTAAAATTACCAATTCAGGAGCAGTAACCCAACAACGGGTTGTCCGATTCATCTGAAAATTTCAGGGCAGATAGATCTTGACCTGATAAACAATTTTACCCCCGTGTCAGATTTGCTCTAAATGCTTTGGTTTCAGAGATATAAGCCAAAATCTACATTTTACCCCTATGTTCTATTTTTAGCCATGGCGGCCATCTTGGTTGGTTGGCCGGGTCACCGGACACATTTTTTAAACTAGATACCCCAATGATGATTGTGGCCAAGTTTGGTCAAATTTGGCCCAGTAGTTTCAGAGGAGAAGATTTTTGTAAAAGTTTACGGACGACGGATGCAGGACGACGGACGCCAAGTGATGAGAAAAGCTCACTTGACCTTTCAGGTCAGGTGAGCTAAAAATGAAAGCAAATTCTAAAAAATACAAATAGCATAAAAATAAAATATTTCATATTTTTGTATGTATGTTCACTGCTAAAATACCAAAGTATAATTGGCAAATGAATGTGGGTAGATGTACATTATACAAATACCACCTGAATTAACAGGTGACAACTAATAAATAAAGAAGAGCACTCTTATTGCTATTCTCCATCTTGTCATGGGTGGAAAGTTTCAACAATAAAACAAAGCTCATAAAGAACAGTAAGATAAAGATAGCACCTAATGTAGAAATATGTAGAATTTTTTATGGGAATGAATTCAAGTCATGTTAGCTTCTGTCTATAGGGTAAAGCCAAATGTTTGTTTTCTAACTCATAATTCTACTGAAATTTTACTTTGTAAAAATAGGTTCTGAAGACTTGAAACATTCTGTCCAAAAAGCAAACTAGCCTGAAAATTCAAGTAATGAAGACTTCTTCAGTTTTAGTTGGGTCATTCAATTTAAATTCACAATTTCAGTGTCACCACAAAAATAAAACTTCCTATTTCAGATCACATGACTTCCATAATATTTGTATTTTAATTTTTATTTTTAGCACCTTTTAAACATAACCTGCATCTTTATCTGATGGATATAAATATAATAACAACAAATCAATCTCCAATTAGTTTGTACAATTAACATTTTGAGTTTCAACCTTCAGTGTTTTTGGGAAAGCTTATTTTTACTAATTTTTTAATTAGATTGGTTTTCTTTCATTTTTATATTTGTGTTAATGACTTAATTCCTATTCTTTCGGATTCTTTCTAAGTGTATTGTGTTTATATAATTATATAAATGTTTATTAGAGCAGTATCAAGCATTTAACTTGCATAGCTGATTTCTTGAATGGGTTTGGCTTTACTTTTGATCCTTTTGGGGTTTTATCAGCTATTCAAAGTTTGTATTAGGTTTCAGACTGTGATATATTTTGGCCTTGAGCATCACTGAAGAGATTTATGAATTTATGATATGCAAGCACTCACTGAAATGGGGATTATTGACAACAGTAAATCATTAATATATCTGAAAGTCAAAAAAAAAGAAAAGATGCTTTCTTTGTCTTTGAAAAGGTTCTGTTTAATTTAGATTTAAATCTTTTTGGTCATATCATACCTTTTAAAAGTTGAAATGTCCATCTGGTACAATAAACTTAGTACTACTAATGTTATTTGACTACAAATGCAGAAAGATAAATATATGTAATTCTATAGTTTTCTCATTATAAATCATACAATGTAAAATAACATCCATTGTTACAACTCTTATTATGTGCGAAAACAAATAATTAAACAACCATTTCCACCCATTCTGATAGTTTTATTTATATCTATTCACTTGTTTTAAATTTCAAAGATAAGTGAAAATTATTTTTGTTCTTCTTGTATGTATGTTTTGTATTATGATGAAAAGGAATAACTGTTATTATCATGAATATATTGGAAAAACACTGAATTTGTGAATAAGGATAAATTCTGCATGGTTAATGAAAAATTTTCGTAAGTATGATGCGCTTTTAGACTTAAACTTCTTTTGGAAAGCACATTCTTGAACACATATGTGTAAACATATAATAATTAACTTTCTATACAATCTACTGATAAGTTTGTCAATGGCAGAAAGAGATTTTGATTTTTCCTATATTACAATTGCAATTGCTAATACTTTCAATATATTGAAATTCAATAAACAAAATTGTTTATCCTAAAAATTAAAAGCTAATTGATAGTGGTCTATTTAACATTTCTGAATTGATTTTATACTTATTTTACATTAACTTGATGCATACTGGAAAGGAGAACCCACTTACCACTCACCTAATGGTTGTGTTCTTTCAAACAGGTAAATAATTAATATTTAAATTAACAGCTGGATGGCCTGTAAAATTTTCCACTTAAGTGTATCAAATTTTTATTATATACTTGTTATTCATTTGCTATATCTATTTTCTTTACTTATTGTTAGGCTTAACTGATTTGTATTTTGAGCTTCAGGACAATAATTTCCGTACTATGATCTTGATGATAGCCAGAGGACAGAGATGGATTTATTGATTGGTGTTTAACACCACTTTCAGCACTATTGTGCTATTTCGTGGCTGTCAGGTGATTTATTGGTGGAGGAAGCCAGAGTGCCAGAGAGAACCACCACCCTTCCGTGGGAAAACTAACAATTCTTGTCAATTTTATATTTCTTATTGTTTTATATTTCTTATTGTTTACAAATTACAAATTTTAATATAAGATTGAAGTGTAGCACACCTGTCGCGTGAAAGATTCGAACTAACTACCTCAGTGTTGACAGGCTAGTGATACAGTATTTCAACTACTTAGACCACTCGGCCACTGAGGACCCAGCATGGATTTAAGTACAAAACTTACAATATAACTTCTACAGTTGTAAAACTGGCTTTTTATATTACAGTGATGTACAACATTTGAACTTCCAGATGTTACCGTACAATCACTTTCAATACAACATGGATACTGTAAATGAGTTACGTGAAATTAGGAAAGCAAAATTAAAAAAAAAAATGTCCATCTATATAATTATCAAATAGCATACAAAATTCTATAAATGGCAAATGAATCTTATCATACATTATGAGTGGAATTTACATATGAATGCACTATACGTCACAAAATATAACAAACATTCTTCTCTCACAAAGACAAAACAATAATGGTTGAAGGTTAATTTATACATTATTTTCTAGGTTTCTATTGAAAAACACATCACACAACACATCAATTTTTTATCATGTATGATTTATATTCCAGTAAAATTCTTTTTCTGTTCTATAAATTTATTGCAAAGGAGGTAAAATTTAAAATCAATGTTAGAAAGAAATCAATAATTATAGTTCGCCATATAAGCAATTTAATCTCGAGATAAGTATATTAGAAATAGTCCGAGGCATTTCCCTGATGATACAACTGAAACTGGTCAGAATTTAACTTTTAAAGAAAAAAATTTGATTTTTTTTTAATGAGTTTGTTTTAAACTAAATTAATCCTTTCACAAAGAATATAAATTACTAATAACAATCAGTTGGAGTGATGGTCCCTTCATTACGTTTAAACAAATAAATACTCTCTATATCTACAACATTATGTACATCATTTAAATGTGTGAGTCCTTGGAAGACGTGTGTCGCCTTCCATCTTCAAAAAATATAAGCATAAATACAAAATCCACTTTTGGTATGGAGTACCCTAAAAATCACTCTCAGATCAATAATTAAAGTAGCAGGTGCACAACTTTATTTACATGTCTTATATAAGAAACTGTGCAATTTTGTGAGATTCTACTGAACAGTTTTCATGTAATTAAGGATTAACAAACTGAAGCAGAAAGGGCTAAGTCCATGTTTTGATATGTCAGATTTTTATGTTCAGTAGAAGATTCTGTGGAAGTATGGTTGAATCTGCAAAGTCATTTACAATAGGTTGCGGATTAACAAAGCACACAAGATGACAGAAGTGATTCCTATGTCAGGCAACACAATAAATAAAATGGCTGTTTTAACTCCTAAGTATACTTCACAGTTAGTGAACCTCTACAAAATTTGGTTCAAACAGACAATGCTGAAAGGTAACAGAAATGTTTTAAAGTGAATAATATAAAATTGTTCATGATGGCTTTATAAGATGAGAAAATGTTTCAATATATACCTTTCTCTATTGAAAGGTTACTAATAAAAATATAATTTTTTTTATTTCATATAAAGTTGCAAGTTTTCTTTTGTTTTAAGGTGATACAATTTACATACCACAATTGCTTTAGTTGTATGACAAACTATGAAGTATGGAGATTTTTGGCAATTTGGGTTATTTCAACACATAGCCCTCTGATTTGTAGCTTTGTCGTGTATCTTTTGCATGCACATATTGAGAACACTGTCAAATCTAAATCCTCAATTATCAAAAATTGCAGAAAAATCTACTTAATAATGACTTTTAAGTGAACAACCTTGTGTGCTATCTGGTACAAGCTATAACCAGTAGCAGATGGGGGAGGGGGGTTATCATAACATCTTTTGTCATAAAATAGTCAATAAATTGGTTAGCCTCACTCCGTTTGGCTCTATATAGTCTGTTTTCTGGAATAACACCCCCTTTCAATAACCCTGAATCTGCCATGATATTTTTCAGACCTTATTAAAAGTTAACGAAATATTGAGGTACATAGCCAAGTATGACAATGGTCAGTCTACAGTATATAAACAACCTTTATTAATGGACGCCATTACAAAAGCATGTATTTTGAACCTTTTTTTGCTTCATATATAACATAGGATCAAGTCAACCTTTTACATTATATATCTTCAATAAATTGAGATTTGATTTCCGCGTTTGTCAATGCTATACTCTGCAAATATACACAAGTCCATAAAAAGTTTGTACAACAAAAGCTTAATACATATATATATATAAATACTTTCAAAAGCAGATCAATATCTTAATACAAAAAAGCTGTCTTAAGCAGGTATATGTAAAAAATACCTTCTAAACCAACACTCACCAAAAATTTCCTTTATGAAAAAAATTGTTTATTGAAATAGGTGTTTCTAATTCAACAAATACATAGTCTTGAAAACTTGATCAAAAAGTGAAAATTATTAATGTTCTTCATGACTACATTGTTTTTATGATACTTCCATACCTTAAATTTTATAAGATGACAAATACAATTTTTTTTTTATACTTTAGCATTTTATTAAGCACATATGCAAGAAATTGGATATACATGTACATCAAAGCAAACTTTTTTACATAATCATAGATTTTGTTGCAGAATCAATGTTTCCAGACATTCTAATGCCTGCTGATTGTCTCGTTGATAATTTACATCACTTGGCCTTCTAATGACATCACCTTACTGAAGGATTTTCTATCAAAAATACACAACATCATAGATATGCATTTTAAAATTGTAAACAAAATCATTAAAAGTTATGAAAAGAGCTGTATTTCTATTTTTACTCAATTTCTAAACTGCTTTTTCTAGTAAAGCATGTATGTTCAAACACAGCAACTTTACACATCTAAAAATCTATGTACAGGAATTAACTACTTCTAAACCTTTCTTAAATCTAAAAAATAAAATTATCAATAAACAATTTTGGTCAAAGTATTTTTGTTTGATGACCTTTCATCATGTAAGCATATGTTTTAAGTAACCTACAAGTGTAAATGTTTTGTATAAATGGGGTGACTATGTGAGACAAGACAGAAAAAATGTCACTACCTGAATAAATACTAATTGTAGTAAATTCTGGTAAAAGAGAAGAGTTAAATGACAAGAAACTGGCTAACAAGTAATGAGATAAAACTCTTATGATATGGAACAATATAAAAATATAAAGCAGATTCAAAAATGAAGGAAGAAAATGAGATTACAGTATTTTGATTTTCGTATTAAAATAGAGTTCAAGTTACTCTACAAAACAGACATTGTTATCATGGTTATGCAGACAAACTATCATGTGGAAAAAAGTTCATGAAAACAACATTTTTAAGATAGCACTACAATTTTGTATATCAGCATTACATTATTAAAGTTATTGAAAGTAAAACAATCTCGTGAAAAAAAGTGAATTTTAGTCCAGAAGTTTTCAACTGAGTCAGATTAGATGCTGTAAAGTTTAAACATGGTGGTCAAAATTTAAGATGTTTGCTTAGAATTTAATCTTAGTGAAACACTTTTTTTAGAGTCCTTACCCAAAGAATGCAACATATCAAATCCTTTGTGTCTTTATCTATAATGATCTAAATATTTATTTCATATATAATTTCACAGTATAAAAAATAGAGTTTATAAATTCATGAATAATTTTTTCTGTTATCTTGTTTAAAGGTTTGTGTATATATGTAAACCTGTTTTATGATTTTCACATTCATATTCCAAGTCCTGAGATTCAACATTGTGTCAAAAAGAATTAGAATAAACCTAGATTTGTTCGTCCTCAGATTCTTTAAAATAAAATAACATCTAATTCATTTTATCTTGAAATAATAAGTCTTTTCAATACATGTACATTTAAATGACATGAATCAGGTCCAAATACCCTGATTACTCCACAAAATAAATACTTCAAGATGATTAAGTTTAGGGGGTCCCAATCATCATGGATTTTATGGCTCAATCCGTGCACAATATGTACATTATATGTATGACAGGATTGCATTGGAAATATACAATGTTTAAAATCACTGGAATTTAAACAGTGATAACAAATATCATACATTTCTGAAAAATGCTTTGATAGCACCTCAAATAAAGCATACTACAGGGTTAATATATACATGTATATATGATAGCATCTCAAATAAAGCATATTACAAGGTTAATATATACATGTATATATGCCATTTATGGTGGGATATAACAAATTGTATGATGATCATATCCAGTAAAATAAGGAGACATTTGGATTCATATGAAGGATTAAATATTATATATGAGAGTTTAGACTGGAGATAACTGAATGGAGAATAATAGTCTTAAAAATAAAAATAGAGATTACCAAAAAAAAAATGATGAGAATAATCAAGTTGAAAAATGGAAGAATTGAGAATGAATGATCTTAAAACTTTATACAGAAAAACATGGTAAAATACTATTGAAAACAGAATAAGAGATTCCATACCCTATTCCAACCCTCAGACATGTGTAAATGATATTTTTCATGAAAATAAAATATGTATAGAGAACACCATATTTTCTTATATTTTTTTCCTCAATATTCAAGGATTTCAATGTATAAAAAGAATGTCTTTTTGCTTTGGACAAAAAAAAATTGTATACTTGTTTTCTGTCTCTATGCTGAAAAACGTAGGGCAGTAGGTAAGTAGGAAAATTTTATTTTTTTATTTTTACAGATTAAATACAGAAATGTTCTGGACAATGACATGCTTAACCAAAAATATCCTTAAAATTGATTACGGTCTGCATTAAGTGTAGGTAGGGAGGCAAAAAAAAACAACTATATTTTGGGGTCTTAAGAATTCTAAGCTAAGAAATAGCTGCTAATATACTGTATATTTGTTTACATGCTGCCAACAATTACCGGTATTTCTATTTAAAAGTGTCTCCCAATGGAATGCAATATTCCGAGACATTGAAAGAAATAACATACAACACTGCAATCTAAACTTATACATCTGTCGCAACATTACAAAAGGATTACTGCACTAAACAATACAATATGATCGAAATACATATCCTGTGTTCATGCTTTGCTTACAAGGATCTTACATCACTCTGTTCTACTTTCTGTTCTGTCAGATCATTATCAAATCAGCCAATAAAATTTCAGCCTTCAAATTTTTGAAGGGAAGTATCTTTACGACAAAACCAGAGGAATCTGGAAGGTCTTTAAAACAGAAAGTAGAACAGAGCACTTTCAGATCATTATAAATGAAGCGTGGATACAGGATTTGTATTTTAATCAGATTGAAAACAATATAAAAAATACAATAATCTTACTATAAAGATTTGTAACAATTCTTTCTATTCTACTATAGATATTTAGTTATAACAAAACATAAATAAATTTAATCTACTTTTAAATGGTTTCTATTGTTATTGCCATTAACTGTGATGGTTTTATCCTTCAGGACTTTGTCTTGTGTCCGTAATAAGTCTGTTTGGCATAATCTCCAAAATAATATAATGTTAATAACAGCCATGATAACCATTGACATTGTCAGAATAACAAAATAAAATGATGGCACTCTGTGTCCTTCATCATACATTCCATAAAAAATACGGGAAACAGAGGTCATACGACATAAAAGAAATGTTACCAGATTTATATAAGATACACCTTTGTATAGTCTCGTATCAAAACCTACTTGGCACATTTGTAAGAGTTTTCGAGTATGAAGAAAGAAACTATTGATTTCTGCCATCAATGCCAGGACATTGTAGCCTATACATATCCTTGCATGAAAGTTGTACCAAAACATGGAGATTACCTGTAAATAAATTATATGTACACATAGTTTAAATTTTTCATACTGGAAACATGTTAAAAAAAATTAATAAATGTGCATACAAGGGTCCTTCAGCTGATTAAGAATAGCAAAAGTGATTGATTATAATTTCTGAGGAAAACAAGTGAAAAACGCACAAATAAAAAATGTATGGTTTTATGTGCACTAAATCTATAACAGCAAATTTTCATTACTAGGGTTAGAGTGCACTTGCAGTCATCCTAAAGGTAAAATGCAATCATTCAGTAAAAGCCACTTTCAAGCTTTTCAAAGAATAATTTAGGACTGTTTATGATTGATTATGAATTTTTTTTATTGATAATCAACATGAAGTTTGAAGTCCTTGATCAGGAGATTTTCCATTATGATGGATTAATAAAATATAACTATATGTTGTTCATTGTTTGTATACATTGTCTTCATCATGTTGTATCAATTTAAATGTAACTTCCAATGTTTAGATGTTTGGACTACCTTAATGCCTACTGTCAATTATTGCAGACCCTCTACATTCTTTATGTGTCTGTACCAACTCAGGAGCCTGTAATTCAGAGGTTGTTGTTGGTGGCTGTCTGTTATATCTGGTTTTTCATTTATTCATGATGTTTTGTCATAAATCAGTCGTTTTTTTCAATTGAATTGTTTATAATTTTATCATATCAGGATTTTTTATAGCTGACTTTATGGTACAGCTTTTGCTCATTGTTGAAGGCCATACACATGTACACTATCCTATAAGTACTTAAATCCACATAGTTTGGATAGTTTTATCATTTGCAATCAAACTACACATCCTTATTTTATAAAGGTTGTACATGTATTTAAACAAGCATTCTGAGAGTATTGCATGGCAATACATAGTCCCCTACCGGGTAAAAATTCATTTTACTGGAACAAAATGCTAACTTGTTCTATAACTTGTCATGGTGTAAACAAAAAGTAAATATCATGTCAATATCTTCAAGCATGACTAAAAACAGTGTGGAAAACTGATTATATGAGTGAAAAAAACATTAGATATGATTAATAGTTCTCTAAAATTAGAAATGATGTAATACAGTGTATATCTATTTTCAAATTATAATCAAATATAATTAATGGTTCCAAATATTTTTTCTTTCATTTGTCACAAACTAATATAGATTTGTAACTTATCTATAAAATGTCAACAACTTTTATCTACACAATGTAATGTATTGAAATATATACATTAATAAAAATAGATTATTATCTAATTAAAGGATTTCTCTTCATAATCTTTTTTTATATCTATAGCATTCAGAAAATTAGTTTATACTAAATAACAAACAAACCTGCCAAAAAATTCTTCAAATAATTTAACAAAGAATGTCTTTTAAAAAATGAGTTATCTCCCTTTGTACAGAAATATGTTTTAACATATACCGGTATAGTACTCTTACATTAGATATGGTCCAGAGTTATGGTCCATTACTCTAGACTAAATCATCAGACCGGAACAAAATTTGAACTTGATCTATAACTTGTCATGATAAAACTATATACATGTACCAAATATCAAATCAATATCTTCAAAAATGAAGAAAAAACGCGTGGAAAGCTGATTTGCCGGACTGACAGACGGAGTGCAAACCTAAAGTCCCCTTAGACTTCGTCGGTAGGGGACTAAAAAGTAATTTGAAATAATAATAGCTATTATTGATTTTACCATCTCCTTTTTGAAATAGTTACAAAAATGGATTCCATTAACTCAAGGCTTCCCTATCTTTCCTGATTGTTTCAGTTTTAATTTGGTTTGGTTGTGTTGTTCGTTGATGCCTTACTGAATTTTACTCAATATTTTCTTTTATTCTAATTCAAACAGTTGTAACTACAGAAGAAGCCCTAGAATAGTTTCAGTGAATGTTGTCTCTGTTTATATCATTGTGAAGAATTTTAGATATTGTTCCATAATAAACAGAAATGTGCCTTCAATGACTTATTTTTGATGAAAATTAAAAAAAAAACAATCAATGGATAGTCACACAGAATACTATGCATCACACACTTCATAAATATGGCACAACGTTATTATACTTACAGCTATATGATGTAGACTTAACTCCCAGTTCTTTAAAATCATTCTATTCACAATCATATCTATACTATCATATACAAAGTAAGCTGCAAAAAAATCAAATTTACAAATTACTTCTGAATTTGGTGATGACAATCTTTGATTGTTTCTGTTTAATTCATCCTGCAATCTGTCAACTTTTGTACAAATATCAGGTATACAAATAAGATCTAATTTCTAAATCTCTTTCACATCAATTTCATATTTTATGACAATGTATGTATATTGTATATTTATCCACAACTGTTTCGGAACTTGGAAGATTTGATATATAGATGTAAGACACCTGTCATGCCTGTCTTTTGCTGGAGAGTATACAGTTGGCATTCAGATGTCTTTTAGTAATCTTTGGGTTGCTGCCTCATTGATGTATACATCAGAATACCTCTGTGTGTGTGTCACATCTCATTTTATTCAAACTCTAGCTTGAGATAATGTCAGTATCTTTTATATTAAGCAATTAACTTTTTCTACCAAAAATGAATATTTTCTCACTAGCCATAGTTTTCAAGTCTCTTTGAAGGTTTGTATTTTAAATTTCAAAATTTAAACCTCTCAAGTTCATATTAATAAATAACATTATAAATCAATGTGGTATTGCTGTAAATTCTGCATGCATCAAATCATGTTTATATAGAGTAAAATTAATATGATTAAGGCTAAAAGCCTTTCACAAATAAATTTGGACAAGAGCTTTACATACATAAAATATATTTACAAAATATACAATCTGACTTAAAATGCTACATTGTACATTGTACATATGTATATGTACATTTATGATTGTCTAAATAAAACATTCTAACATATGTACTCACCAGTTGAAAAAGGTATCATCAAATATATAAAAAAATTGTTGTAAGCTATCAAATCATTCATAAATTCTGGATATAGCACCAAACTGAAATAATAGAATAAAAATTTATCTTCCAATCATTCTTTTTGGCTGAACATATTAAAACTGATAAAGGTTCTATTTATTGTAAAAATCATAGCATCTTGTATTCTTGGCTGTAATATCTATTTCTATATTAACAAATTAAAAATCAACCTGCACGTTTCATTATTTTTTTCATTTTTTACAGATATTGTCCTCCACAAATTTTATTTTAATTCAAACAGAAACTTTCTATCTTCATTTCTACTGTTTCTGACTTTCCTGTATGAAAAGTCATAAATCTACTTGGATGTTCTACTGTGGATTTACTGTGGATTCATTTATTTTCGTGGGCACTAATTTTCATGGATTAAGGAAAACTTACGTATTCGTGGATATTTAATTTCGTGGTTTTGCCAAATTCTGCATACATTGCCTATAGGAAATTTGTTATTCTTTGAACATTTAATTTCATGGTTCACCTGTACCCACGAAATCCACAAAAATTGGTATTCAACAAATAATAATGAATCTACAGTATTTGTTTTCCTTTTTGAGGTTTGAAGAAGAATTGTCTTTATTGGGGATATAAATATACTCATGTAACTTCATTCATTGGTTTTGCCAAATAAGGAAATTTATATTTTATTGACATTTAAATTCATGGTTTATCTAAACCCACAAAAACGGTACGCAATAAATAATAAATGAAGAACTTAAGCTTTCAGCATCTGTGAGCATGTTTTAGTTTTATTACAACAATAATCTGGTACATGTATATAGTAAGGTTGTGTTATTTGTGTATATGTTAATGTCTAAGATACAGACAACTAGATATCATTGAGATGGGAGCCATCTCTGTGGGCCCCGCTGTGAATAATGTGTGGTAAAAAATTTGTATCTTTATCATTGGACATGGGATTGTCAACTGAAACCAAAGTTTTTGACCTTAACCTTTGACCTAGGAAGTTGTACATAAATTATGACACACCCTCTGGTGTTGGTTTATATATATATCAAGTCTAAACTTTGAAATCATAACGGTTCTCAAGATATAGAGCGGACACGATCTTTACCATAGGCATGATAGGACATGGGGTTGTCAACTAAAACCAAAGTTTATGACCTTGACCTTTGACCTAGGAAGTTGTACACACATTATGACACACCCTCTGGTGTTGGTTAATATACATGTCAAGTATAAACTTTGAAATCATAACGGTTCTCTAGATATAGAGCGGACACAATTTGATATCGATGGACAGACAGACTGATCACTATAGGGCATCCGCCATTCGGCGGGGCCCTAATAAATAAGATAAGTATTTTTTGTTTGACTTGATTTTCATTGTGCATTCTTTTTTATTATGCTGATTAAGATAAAAAGTTTGAAGATAACAAGTAAATGTTAATTTGCCTCTCTAGTCAAGAACCTCACCAACGGTTATCTTTTTAGATTTGTTTTTCCTTTAAAGAATTGTGATGTTGATGGCAGATCATTGGTTGTATAATTCACAACTTGACTTCACTTACCTGTATGATATAGACACCTGTGTTAATTGTTTAATACTGTATATTAATCTTATAAGTCCTGTAAAAGTCCTTTTTTTGGTTTAATGCTATGTAAGTTGTTCGGTGGCTTTCTCATTGAGATATACACATATGCATACTACTTTTGTTTATTGTTGTTCTCCAATCGAAAAATTTTCATAATCATGTGTACACTTTCATTATACTTTTAAATGCTCTGCTCCTTTGAGGCATCATAAATGAAACATAAAAATATTGTGTTATATCTGGTATATTGTATACAGCACATATCCTTTTATTCATTAATGTAGCACACAAATAAAAAAAGTGAAATACCATTGCCAAGTCCAATGAAATTACACCTAAAATTTCACAATTTTAACATGTGTAACATACTTTTTACTTTTTTTTATTCGAGGGTCACAGTGATTTCTAACAATTGAGTCTTTTGTAGACAAAAAGAGAGTCTGGTGTACAAAATTATATGAACCTGGTATCTTTGATGAGGTTTTTAAACATAACACATATATATACTAAAATCAATAATATACTGTTCTGTTTAATTTTTTCATCAACTAATTTAATATCAAAATAAGGAAATGTGGTATGATTGTCAATGCAACAAATGACATGAATGTAAGCAACTCATTGAACTGTAGGTTATCATAAGGCCAACAACAATGAGCCATTCCTTACTGTATAGTCAGTTATAAAAGACCAGGCATGAAAAAATGTGAAAACAATTTAATCGAGAACAAATGGCCGGATTTATGCTTAACCTTAAAACCAAAAATAAATGTGACAGACAGCAACCAAGCGACTGGGTTAACATGTTTGTGAGCACAGAGGAGGATTTATGGAGCTTCATACATGATAAATGCATAGACATTTTAAAAGTATCACTCCAAACAGTGGCTTGCCAAGGGCCCATCCCCCTTTTTTCAAAATCCTGGATCCGCACCTGGAGCAGTCAACTTTCCCATAACCTGGGACAATTTTAATGCAGCACAAAATAAGAACAAACTGTATAAACCAGTTAGAAAGGACTTGACCTATCAGATAGTTATGCTTAACAACTTGGAGTCATGTTAATGCGAAGAGGTTTTTTAATGATGCAAGGGATATTTATAATTGTATTCGACATGATTGCATGTTCGTCAGGAACATCTCGTGCAGACATACCATAAAATATCCCAAGTTCCAACTATTGCAGCGTGTATCCACGAAATAAAAAGATTCCTCCAACGCCATGGGTCGATATCAGACCGGACAGATTTGGGGTTGCCGATTTTGGTTACCGCTAGATTTAAGAGCTGAAAAAGAAGAATGCCACCAAAAAATACGGTATAGCCATGCCAACGCTTGACATCTTGTACAACTGTAAATTCAGATGCCATACTATCTGAAAAATTTGTTTTTAACCCTGTCATCTCGAGTCTAGTGGACTGTCATCTATATATTTTCTTAGTCAAGCCCTGTGTCACGTGACAAGCCGCTTAAAACAGTGAGGAATATAAACAAATGCACGTTGCCTAGTCATATCCAAAACAAAATATTATAAGGATTAAAGTGGACTTGTCGGCAAATTGATTGGGCGGGAGTTAAGATGTTGACCCACGTGCACATTCCTCAATTAATCGCTGAAGAAGAGGTATAAGATACCAAAGGGACAAGGCCAAAAAATTAAAGTTGTGGTGGTTCCTGCCTCCCCTTTGGCAGAGACATATATACTAAGAACCGTTTTAAAAGTCTAGACATTATTTGGTTTCTTCTTTGGTATAGTAGTTAAACGCATTAATGAGTACACAATGCCTATTGTGTGTGCGTGGGTGCTGGCAATACCTATTTAAAATGAATGTAAAAAAAGTCGAAAATATAACCAGTTGACTGAGTTGTTCACATGTATTATCAACTCAAATCAAATCAAATGCCTTTATTCCTAATTAAAGGGCCCACATAGAGCATATAAATCAACACAAAGTCACAAAGTTCATACAATATGATATATCCACACAAACACATGCAATTTAACATACATACTGATTATTGATAATTAAAAATGATTAAAAACAATTAAAAACCAATTGTTCAGAGAACAATTGAAGGTCTTTCCACAAAAAAAACATGTATTTTAATATGAAAATAGTATAAATTTGGTTTAAAATGTCATTTCCAGCGTCAAATGATAGCTTATTGTACGCTGATTCCAAAAATATATGGTTTCTATACAATATTTTTTTAAAAAAGTAGATAATTTGTTACTTCCGGTTTGAAAAATGTTATTTCCGGTATTATTCAAACGTTTAATTGACACTGATACCAAAAATATCTGGTTCTATAAACTTTTACATTAATTAAGTACAAAAAAAAGCTACTTCCGGTTTACACAAGGTCACTTCCGGTTGGCTTTTCTAGGGTTAAATGGCTTGAAACGTAATGCAAAAAGTCCCATGGATTTATGAGGTAAAAGCAAAGGTCAAAATCTAGAATGTCAATTTAACCTATGACCTTGAGCTCAATTTCAAGGTCATCAACCAAGGACCTAAAATCAAAAGACCCTAGGACTTAATTATATTTGGTTCATGAGTTATATCACCATATGCATATTTTTAAATAAAAGAGGGGAGAAAACTCTAATTTGATGTAAGCGTACCCTTTATACCGATATGTATGTGTTACGACATGTCGCAACTAACAATTAAGTAAAAATATGTTGTCGATATCTTATATCGTGTTTGAAAAGGGGTGAAAATAAGCCAAAATCCAAATTTAAAAATGACCTTGACCTTTGCCCTTGACCCTATTTTCTTTTTTTTTGGACCAAGGACCTCAAATCAAAAGACCCTAGATCCCTATCACTTATGGTCTATCAATTACAATTACATTTTACTTACTTTAAATACAGAAGGGGAAATAACTCTCATAAGGAGTTTCTGGACCGCTTCGGTCAAAATTATTCTTAAGATCCTGAGGATATAACGAACAAATTGGAGACATAAATTTGTCATAATCCTTTACGGTTGCGAAGGAGATGTGTACACAAGAAAAACAGTGTTTGGGGAGATAACTCTTACAATAAAAAGTATTCGGCTAAACAGGGTCAGTTTCAAAATCGCAATGACTGTTCGATATCATACACAAAAAATCTAAGCGACATCTTGAGAAACAAAAAAGCACCGTCAGAAAAAAGTGGCGGAAGAAGAAAAAAATAATAATCAGAAGAAAACCAATAGGTCTTTCCACAGAAAAGTGGAAAGACCTAAATATGGAAACATGATACATGATTGGAGAGAGCCAGTACAAAGAGGAATAACTCCATTTGTTTATTTTAACTTTTGTCTCTTTTTTTTCCTGTCTAATCTGCCAGTGATAAATTTTATTAAGGTAATACTAAAAACTGTATTTAAATCTAATTCTAACTCTTCACTTTTCATGATCCAGATAAAGAGATTTTCTAAATTTTCTAAATTTATGTTTCTCAGATTTGGAAACTTTTGGAATAAATTTTGTAAGAATTCTAATGTTGGTGAGCTATATAGAGGGCACTCTAAAACAAATGCAGTTCATTTATTATACATGTTATAAGAGAGTGTGGATGGCCGGGTTTTACAGAATAGAGAATAATGGGCAAAAAGTTCAGAATAAAGGATTTTTTTTTTTTACCTTAAATACAGTGTTTCCACTGCTCAGCTGGTTCCATCATTAGGTGGATCCCCTCTCCTCGACTGTTTCGGCGCTGTCCACGACAATCTCCAGGGGGTGCGCCGACTGAGTTGATCAAGCTCAGCCATGAACCAGCTAGCTCTTCCACTGCTCTTTTCTCTTCCTCCATACCCAACCAGAAGCTTCCTCTGTATGTCTCCAAACTTTTCCAACCAAGCTTCTTCTTCACTGATCCAGTTAGTCCTAGGAACCCCAAAACTCTCTTCAAAAAGTTTGTGAAACAAAGCCTCTACAGCCTACCTCCACGGGAAAATACCATGTCCTCCAATTCTTGTCTTGGATGTCTGTTACCAATTCCTGGTACTTCGCAAGCTTTCTCACATGGACTTCTTCCAGTCTAGTTTCCCATGGCTGACTTTAGCTCTACAAGAATGACCTGTCTGCTGATTCTGGACCACAGCACAATGTCTGGTCGGAGAGTTGTTGTTAAAACCTCTCTTGGAAATGTGGTCTTTTCCCAAACGTCGGCTTGCATCTCCAAGTCATTTGCTGTTGCTAGGATACCACTGGTTTTGCTGTATGTGTTTCTGAATGACTCTCCACCTCCTTTTGATGAAGTTGATGAACTTTGGCCCCTTCTCTATCTTAGTCTTCTTTCTCCTCTGAGTGTCCAAGACTGCTGCTATCTCTCGAAGGACTTGGTCATGGCGCCATGTATATCTTCCATCCTTCAGATAGAGCTGTCCTGCAAGACGACAAAACATGTTCTAGATTTGCTGGCTTACCTCACAACTTACAACTAGGGTCTTCAATCAGTTTCCACATTGTAAGGTTTGTGGGTGTTGGAAGTACGTCGTATACTGATCTAAGTAGGAAGCTTATCTCCTGCCCGTCCATTCTCCACATCTCATGCCAACTGATCTCTCTTGGTCTTGCCATCTCCCATTTCATATATTGCCTTGTTGTTTCATACTGACGGCTCTTACTTGGCGATATTCTTCTTCCCCACGACGACTTTCTTGCTGAACAAGTTCCCTTCTATGTCTTGCATCTGCTGACTGCCATAATGGTTGGTGAATGTTGCCAAAACCAAGTCGTCCTGATGTTACCACTCCCACAATGTCTCTATGTCTTAATCGACTCTCTACATCTTCAGCATCACTCTTGGCCACCCATTTCCATCCTGTCCTGACATCAACATTTGCTTCTTTCACCTTGTCATCTTTACTGTCTCTTAACATCATAATTTATCTGTTTTTTGGTGACTTTAAACTCATCTGTAATAGAAGGCAGTGGTAGTTGAAGTTTTGTACTGGTGCTATACAAACCAATGCTGCTAAAACTCTTTGGAATCCCAAGTCATTTGCGTAAGTGTCTGTTGAACATCCTCTCTATACTTTCAACTTATAATAAAGAATAGAGAATAATGGGGTGCTAAAATATAAAGAATGGTGAATAATGGACAAAATCTATAAAAAATAGAAAAATGGATTAAAAAAATATAGAATACAAAATTGAAGGACCCCCTATCCAGACCCCTATATGAAGTTAGTCCAGTACATATGAGGATCTAGATGGGGTTTACAGAATAGAGAATAATGGGCTAAATGAATAAAGAATAGAGAAAAATATGGTAAAAAAATAAAGAATAGAGAACTTAGTAATCATCGGTGGGTGCTAAACTATGATATAAAGAATAGAGAATAATGGGCAAAAAATATAAAGCAAAATTACCTAAAAAAATAAAGAATACAGAAATGATGGACCCGCCCTCCCCGACCCTCACATATGTCCATATGTAGTGCATGACTATTGAATATATATATATATATATATATATATATATATTAAGAAACTACCCCTTTACAACGGGGGCACTTGCAGGCAGGGTACCTACAAATGCGTCTAAGAGCATATACAATGAATATTGTACAATGAAATAAAATACACATAGGACAATATCATAGTTAAAAATTGATTCTCTTTAAAACAAGTCCTTTCATATAAAACATAACAGCATTATATATTAAGATAACATCTCAACATTTAGAGATCACATCAATTAAATTGAACACGCAAATCACAGTTAGCTTAATTTTCTCAAATCGAAGACCTGTAAGTGTACATTTCACTCAACATCTTTTTTATATTGAAAATATTTAAAAAGAAAAAATCATTTTATCATTTTATCTACCATATATACCTACCTATAGATAACTTGAATGATAATTTTTTTTTTTTTTTTTGAATATTTTGAATATATATAATTAAATATTTAAAAAGAAAATATCTGCTTTAAGGCAGGGAAAAAGTATACTGGTAAGTCGTAGAAACACAACAATACCATGGCAAAATACAACGAAAATACAAACATCATGCAATCCACAAAACACTTTGATGAGAACTAAAGATATTTTACTAAATTTTATATATATAAAAGTGGGTTTTTTTTGTTTATTTGAGTATGATTTATTTTATATGAGTATATATATCAGTTTATTTGTAAGAGCAGGGGATAGCACGGCGTGCTCATTTCCCAATTCCAGCCGCTTTTGTTTTTAATATTTATCCCCACTTCCAAAACCAAAAATTAGGAAAGCCAGGTCGGGATATATATAAATACTTGACGCGCTTCATGAAAAGGAACCAATCATTCTTTACTTAAACACTTTTAAAGCAGGGATATATAGATAATATTGTTTATAAAGCTACTGTTACAATCCTTCTCTTTGGCTTAATAACATTATTGATTAAAAATTGAATGTTAACATGGTAAAGTTTGATCAGGTCAATGCACAAACTCTTGTCTCCGATCC